CTCCTTCCACATCTGCAGGGTCCCATCTGTCCTGCCTTTCCCTCTGGAATCCTTTCCTCACTTCGTCCATGCCCTCCCACATCCCACCTGTGGAAACCTCCCACTTTCCTCCTACCTTGCTACCTCCAGGACACCACTCACTACTCTCAGTTTTATTCTCTCCAGTGACACCTCACATTCTCCAAGGACCAGGCCTTGCTATTGGCACAGCTTCTCACCTTCAACAAAAAAATGCCTGTGGATCCTCTACACCAGCATTCCCCTTCTTACTCCCTGGGGAAGTGGGGACCAGGGAGAGGGTGCTGAGACAGATACATCGGTGCATCCCTGGCCAAAGATGGTGCTATTTGTTGACTGTGGTTGCATCTCCGGTGCATGTGGTATGTACCAAGTTCCACCTTGTGGTGACACTGAGAACGGGCTTCTCCATCATATGTGAAACCTTTAAATTTCATAAAGGAGGAGTTCTCCCAAGCCTCGCGTTGTGGTTGTCCTCCAGATCACTGCCTAATGCCTCCCTCTGCCTTCACACTGGCCTGAAGCTGTGTGATGGGCAGGTTTCTGGTGCACTGAAATCAATGCTGTCACCCTGCCCGATATTTCTCAGCCCCACTTTCTCTCTGTATCCTTTAGCTGGCTCACCTGGTCAGAAAGGTCTCTGGGAGCAGAATGGTCCCTTGTCCAGCTCTGATGAATGCACACAGCCCATCTTTCCCCTAAACAGGCTGGCTATAACCAGGCTGCCCACTGGGAAGGACTGCAGGCCCATCACCCAGATCATGCCATGTGCTTGCTTGCTGTGCATCAAAACCATGCTGGGGAAATGTGCTAGCAGTTAAACACTGCAGAGCCCTGGCCCTGATTTGTATAAACAAAGCCCATCTGCCTGCGCAGACATTTCACAGACAGCTCAAATTATAATCTTTATTTATGAAAATCTTCATGTATCTTCCTACCAGTGTGGGTTGCTCACAGGGAGCTTGGATCAGTGCATGGATCAGGCTGTGACCCATCAAAAGCTACTGCCCTGTGCTCTTGTGGAAATCCAGGTAGAACATCCAACTGAATTTCATTGTACTCAGGAACCCAAAACCAGACTGAAGGTTTGGTTTGGTCCTTCCATCACAATGCACATAGTGGCTGCAGAGAGGCACTAAAACAAACACTGGCTTGCAGTAAATTACATCTTTTCCAGTAGCTGGTGCAAAAAGAGCAGGAAGAAAGTAATTGAAAAGAAAGATATCAACTTGATGGGTAGGGCCAGGAGCACTCTTGTAGCTTAGTTGCCTAACTCCCAGGTCATGTTTCTGGGCACATGCTGATGAAGATGTTCTCTTCATATAACCAAAGAAATTGTAGATGAGTCCCAGCTTCGTTTTGGCCCACTAAACAGCTTTGCTCACCATTTTCTTCAGGAGCTGAAATGTCTTCCATAGGTGAAACACAGGTCACCCTCCCCAATCTGTAGCAGGGCAAAATTCGTGCAACAGTTAAATTGCACAATTGAATTATGCAAAACTAGGGGGAAAAAATCCCTGGATTTAACTGGAATTTCTGTAACTTTAGCCAAAACCAGCCAAGAAAACTTGTTGTGTGGTACCTCAATATAGGGGTTTCAAAGGTACCAAGTGAGGGGCAGCCTGAGGACTGAGAATTTCCACACACACAGTGTCTAAAACTGGCACATTTAAGATGTGAAA